CACGCAGGATTGTTCATGTGTCTGGCTAGCACTGTTCAGCTTGTACCATTGGATGTCTGGTTAGCACCATTGAGCTTGTAAGCAGTCAAGCGCTCAGACTACACAGTTGTTGTTAAATTTAAAGTAGATTATGACGTTGCAAAGTGTGAGCAGTTTGAGCGGGATTTGACTGCCAACTCAATTGGCTTGATTTACTAAAAGAATAGAGAATGCCATTTAGCAAATGAAGCGTCGGTAAATCCAATGAAGCTGTGTTCAATCAATCAGTCATGTGCCAGCAAAAATCCTCTTTTTTTTTTCTTCTTAACCTCCCCAAGCGTGACTGTGTGGAGTGTTTTTCCAAGTTTTGCCGCAATTATTTCAGTGGGCTGCCTTATGTGTGATAAACGTGGTAAAGAAGCTCATGAAGCAGTTTGAGCTGTTAACTTCATGTGTATTTTAACCCCACGTGTTTATCATGCATTAATGCACACACCAAGATGTGTGTCTTGTTGCATTTTGAGTACCATTATATAAGGGCCCTGCATTTGTGGCATACATTTTTGCATATTGCATGAAGGTGCACAATTTTGCACACGTTTATGCACATGACTGGTGTGAATAGAGGATTCTATATGATTGGGTACTCAGAGTGAACGCATGTGCAACTTATTTACTACCATTCACTTGGCAAAGCGAACATTTACTTTGCTAAGTGAACGGCATCTACTGCTTGAGGCAATCTACTGCTTGGGGCAATCCGTGACCGCGCAGCAATGGTGCAGAAAAACCGCACAGATGGCCCACCACTACGGATTGCGCTGGCGGTGTCATTATTTTCTAATGACACCCCAGTCGCACCAGACAGATTGCGTGGTTTCCTGCCGCAATACCGCCTGTGCAATTGAACATGATAAAAAAAAGCTGCGTGTAGTGCGTCGTAAAATGAGATACTCGTACCTTTTTTTAGCGATTGCCGAATGGATGTAGCCCCATTGAAATCAATGCGGCCACACAGCAATCGCTGTGTGCAATTGTGCACGATGGCGCGACCCTGGGACACGTGGCCCGGGATCGCCCACATCTGAACCTAGCCTGAATAAATCAACTCCAATGCATTTATTTTGTATTTGGTTTTACTCAGAAGAAGGGCATTTATAGTCACACTTGTTCTGATGTATGGAAAATAAATATAATCTTTGAACATTCAAAATGAGCATGCGTGTTTAAATGTGTATTGCAGAAAAAGTGACAGTGAACATCATTTGACTGCCATCCAATGTGTATGGATCTCAGAGATTATGACAAACTGTTCAATTTAGGGCTAATTCACACCAGGTGTGTTGAGATACATTGATCAACGCAGACTCAATGCAAGGACAGTGAGAAAACAATTGCTTTCTATGTGCCTTCTTCACACCATACAAGTGCATTGGTGTGTGTAGCATTGTTGCATAAAAATGCACCATGTCTGCATTTTTATGTAATGCACAAGCACACATGTTACATATATTTTTATGCACTGCACAGTGGCTTAGTGGTTAGCACTTTAACCTTGCAGCACTGGGTGTACCTGGTCCTCCTGTTTTCTCCCACACTCCAAAGGCATGCTAGAAAGTTAATTGTCTGCTGTCTAAATTGGCCCTATATGTGTGTGTAATAGGGACCCTAGATTGTAAGCTCCTAGAGCGCAGGGACTGATGTAAAGTGCTGCGCAAATTGTTGGAGCTATATAAATACAGTTAATAAATAAATGTCTATGTGGCCAAAGACGCACTGTCTACCATCTGCACCTAGTTGTAAACGGACATCATATAAAATAATGTGATTTCCATCGTCTTGCATTGTAGCACGCGTGACAAATCGCACTTGTATGAACAGGGGTTTATGGACAAATATTGGCAAAAAGAATTTGTAGAATTGAAATTTTTGTCTAGAGATAGCCTGAGATCAGCCAGGGGTGTTACATGACTGCAAAGTTGACAAAGGCATATACTTAGGAATGTCAATGTAATAAAACCTCTCTACCCTATAACTAAATATAAAGAAAACCATACCAAGTGATCTGATGATGAGTTTGTAGGTCATGAGCACATACAGAGGTAACATAGACTAAATGAGGAGATATATTTGCTAAGTGTTGACATTTGAAATGATCTCTAGCTGTAGAGCTGAGGCTAATAGATCTCAACAATGCTTATAGAGGCACAATAACCACTACAGAGGCAAACAATGAAGAAGACCACTTTGCTGTGAGATGCCGGCAATCACACTATTTTTACTTTATAACCCTGTTACTGATGTCTGACTGATCCACTTGTCAGGGCAACAGTCATATAATGTTTCTGAGCCTTTAAGGCCTCATTCACACGACTAACTAACAGATCTGTGCTGTGTGCACGGCCGTATTGGGCCACTCGCCGGGAAGAACAGGTGATCGAACACAGCTTCATGAGATTTACTGATACTTCACTTGCTAAATTGACATTCTTTATTCTTTTAGTAAATCAAGACCCGGGTCTGATTTACTAAAGCAGTAGAGGCTCTTAGCAAAGTGAATGTTCACTTTGCTTAGTAAATAAGATGAAGATGTGTTAAGATTAAATACCTAATCATGTGCATAGGAACAAAACTAAACTAAAACAGGCTTGCACATAATTGAATGATTGTAGTGAACACAGCTTCTTCTACTTTGTAGTGAACACAGCTTCTTCTACTCTACTTTTTTAGTAAAGTAATTGATTTACTAGAAGAGTAGAGCTTGTTCACTTAGCAAAGTAAGTGTTCACTATCAAAAGTTAAAGCTGAGCTCTGGGTATAAATGTTTATGTATACTTACATTGGTTCAGCTTGGCTCAATAAGTATAAATATTTTATACCTGGTAGGGTAATGAAAATCCTGTAAAACACTGTAGTAGCCATAACTACTACAGTGCTGACAACCATTTTCTTGTAATGGCCCTGTGCTGAGCGGCTTCCCCTCTGCTCTGAAAACACAGGGGCTCATTCACTCGGCACTAAAAGGCCCCTATGTGACAGCATTTGGAGGTGACATGTTCTCTTGATAAAGACATCGTGGGTCTATTAGACTCCTGATGTCTCCCCTGCCCCCCCCATATACAGATGACTATATATATCTATATATATATATAATTGTGACTACTGTGAATGTGTTTCACTGTGATCACATGACCAGAAACCACGCTGACTTGCTGCTGCTGTATAATGATACCCATTGGATGTACTCCTAGTCACAGCACAGCGCAAGTGACTTCAAACATCCAATTATGCGCAAGTAAAATTCCTTTTTTTTTTATGTTTCATGCACATGATTGGGTATTCTTTAAAAAGTGAACCTAATTTACTCCTTCAGTAAATGAACCCTCATGGGTTTTTTTAATACACCTTTTAGACCTACACTACATATTTCAGAAGTGGTTAAATGGTATGATCATGTAAAGCTTAATACATTAGCATTGGAATCCATACATGCCAAGGTTTGCTTATCATTATGGCAATGCTTGAGTACACTAGGCCCCCCATTGTGTAAAACCCTCTAGTTGCTAATAACTTGGAATTTGTGAATTATTTAGAGCTTGTGATACTAGAGCCAAATAATTCCAAGCTCCGCCAATCAGATTTTTTGCAGCCCAATTATGCAATCCCCTGATTTGGTCTTATTATGCAGAACACTAATCACAGAATTGGTACATTCATGCTCATCTGCCCTTCTGTCTATAGGAACCATGCTGTTTAAATAAAAAAGGCTAGCATACAGTTCATTACGCTATCCATGATGCTACAGGTGCATTGTTTCTTCATGAAATCTATTGTATAATGCAGGCTAAAAATAACTAAGTGGTTTGTTTATAGTGATTGAATTGAGGCCAGGTAGATCAGGTTGAGAGTTCCCTTGGCTGCCTTGTGCCTATAATATTGTACTCATTAAACAAACAGAGCTAAATTTCGATTGCACATGTCAACAGTGGTGTTTGTTGTCCAATGCTCACATAATATGAC